CATTATTCATGTACAAATCTACTCAAGCATTTGTCATTTCCCTGGTGACTTAACATCCTCCCTGTGCCTTGGGACTTCAAATTATATTAAGCAAAGTAGATGCTTAAACTCTTTTATTTAGTTTAATCGTTGGTCTCATTCCACTTGCTCAGATTATTTGGGCTCATTTAAAATTAGCCCTCCTGTCTCCTTGATGCATTAAAATAGGAAGGAGGGAAATTTCTTTTTAGAACCCATTGCATTCTGAGGATGAATGCAAATTATCCTACTATGATTCTTAATGACCCACTATTAACATAGTAGGAAGCCCAGTGCATTAATGCAATGCCACTTTTCACATCATTACTCCTAATGGAACTGTTACCAGGATAATAGCTTGACCTTTAGCTATAGATTCTGATAGCAAAATATATTCTGCTTACTCCATACCTCTATTCCCATAGCGTATCAGCTGTTTTTACATCAATGCAATGTCGTCTTTGGGCCTTGTTCTAAGGTCCCATCTGCGATTGTAATGGAGAGAATAAAAGTTCATCTTCAATAGGTAAATTCTAGTTAAAAGTCCCTTTGAAGTTTGGATGTAATCCATGAATCAGAATGTCAATAATGTGCCTGGTGGAAGTATTTGTTTGTGTAGGCATTTTTTTTTTTTTTTGAGAAGTCTATGCTGTGCCTTCAAAGATCTTAGTCACGGGCCCAGGGGACAGTGATTTTTCTAGCATTTTTCTATTGAAAGCAGAAAAGTTTTAACTGAAAGAAGAAAAAAGTGAGCAGAAGCTGTTGCCTTTTTAAGTGAACGATGGGTTACTGAGCTCAAGGTTAGAGTGTAAAGTTCTCGTGGAGTGAGAGAGAGCATCCCCAGCCTTCACTTCGGTTCTCCTACACACCGCTGCGAGCACACATGGAGCCCTGAGGGCACTGGCATAGCCCAGGACTACTTTGTTATTTTGGAACCACAACTTGCTAATGTGTGATAATTTGAGCACAAGCATTTCACAATCTAAGAAAAGAGGTTGCTATGGAAATTAATTGTATACATAGCATTATAAGTGGAAAGATGTTTACCTCATTAAGATAGTCTATTCAGTTGTTTTTGTAGTATGCATTTTCATATAAGTGAATAGAATGCTAGATACAAACGCATTGTTTTCATAATTTTATTTATTAAAACAGAACTTCAAGCACCTTTTGACAGTTCTTCAGTTAGTAAATGTTATTGTGAGCATTTGAGTATAATAAAACCTTTTTTATTTAAATAGGTTTGACTAATTAAGACTTCCTGTTAATTCCGATAGGTCATTTTCTAATTAGTCTATATTTTTCAGTTTCTGTTATCTGTTAACATTAGAAACAAGACTAGGAACGCTATTGATTCATTCACCACATGTTTCTTGAGCTTCTTCACTATGCTGGCTACTTGGAGGGAGACAGAGAAATGAAGGAGCTGGTGTAGGAAGTTGAAAGCGCATCTCTGCCCGGGAACGTGGCTTGTTTCCTCTGCTCTCCTTTGCCCTATGGTGGGAACCTCCAGTGGGTCGGTCACCTGGTTCCTGCTGCCCTACTCCTTCATTCTGCTCCCACCCCCACTCATGTAAAGCTGCGATGGACCTTTTTTCCATGAAGGCTCTTAGGAGATCTGTACATCTCCCTCCAACAACTTGGTGTCGCTCGGTATGGCTCACTCCCCTGCACACATGAAAATCCATCTGATCCCTGGCCACATGGTGTCAGGAGCTCAGTAGTCGTGCCTTTCACTGCTGCTTGCTAGCCCACGTCACTCAACATACCTTAGCATCCTTCCACACCGCTCTGCTGTTTCATACTCCAGCATCCCATCAGACTATTCTGAATGTATGCTACTACCATCTAACCCCTACCCGCCAACCCATTGGTATCTCCACTTGTGATGTGGGTGGCATCTCAGAGTCTGTCTATCTGCTGTCATTTTCCAGCATCTTCGAGTACTTTAAGCCCCCATTCTGCTGCTGAAACTGTTCAGCTAATCCTAACCCTAGGCCATCCCTTCCACCTAATAGCCCCCTGTAGACTGCTGCACCCCGTTCACTGCTTAGCACCTTACTGCTTGTCCTCAGTCTATTACTGGCCCATGGTCAGTAACAATTCCAAACCTTCCCACACTCTTCATCTCCATGGTGGCTCAGCACTGAGCTCACAGAGTCTCTGGAGCCTAGAGCCTCCTGTCTAGAGTCACTTCTTATCAGCACATCTCCTCATCCTCTGGCTTTCCATCTTGTTTGTAGGTGGCCTCTCTGCTTCATTCCTATATCCCATCACCCCAGTTCCTCCAAGATGGCTCCTTGAATTATCCCCGTATTTTTCCCATGTCTTATTTCCATCTGCCATGCTGCTTGCTCACACAGCCTACCAACACCCTTCATCCTTCCTTTCCTCCTCTCCCTGAGTCCAGGTGTTTCAAGAGTGATGTTGGTGGCTACTCCCTCAGAGGCTCTCGTCAGACACTTGCCACGCCACTGTTTCACTGCGCTCTGGAGCCACGTGTCACCTTGATAAGATTGTTCCTGAGTCCCTTGGCTTTTCAGTCATCCTGGTCTTCCTTGTGGGCTTCTCTGCCTCCATCATCTACTCCTAAGCACTGTTCTCCACAGCCTATGCTCAGCCAGGTGCTCTTCACTCTGTATGTTCTCTCTTCTTACGTTTTTCTGTTCTTTGTCTTAACTACCACATGTACAACGGGCTCTTCATGTTCGGTGAGTTCAGCATCCACAGATTTGACCAATCAGGGACGGAAAATCCTCAAGGAGGAAAAAACCCAGCATGTCACACACACACACACAGACATTACCTTGATGCTGGCAGCACAGCTCAGTTACGGTAAAGTACATGTTTTAACATGTCGACTTTCACTGGACAGTGGTGGTACACACCTTTAAATCCCAACACTTGAGAGGCAGAGGCAGATGGATCTCTGAGTTCAAGGCCAGCCTGGTCTGCAGAGAGAGTTCCATGAATATGGACTTTTTTCTCATGATTATTCCCTAAATAACGCAACAATACAACAACTTACTTAGTATTGACATTGTATTAGTTAACATTGAGTAATCTAAATTTGATTTAAAGTATATGATGATGGCATAGGTGATACATCATTTGTAAGGTTATCTTCCGACCAGGTGGCGGTGGTATACGCCTTTAATCCCAGCACTCGGGAGGCAGAGCCAGGTGAATTTCTTTGAGTTTGAGGCCAGCCTGGTCTACAGAGTGAGATCCAGGACAGGCACCAAAGCTACACAGAGAAACCCTGTCTCAAAAAATAAGTAAATAAATAAAATGGAAAAAAAAAAGATTATCTTCCAGGGTCTTGAGACTGATTCCTATAGACGCAGAGACAGCAGCATCCTTGACCAGCCTCTTTCCCTGCACTGCTCTGTCTACCTTTCCTCTGGCCACATCATGTGGTTGCTCCACAAACAGTCCACCCAAAGTCTGTGGTGTTCCACCTTTACCTCACCTTCTGTGGTGAATAATGTGTTTTGCCACAGAGTGTCAGTCACCTGCCCTAGATGCTTGATTAACTGGGACAAGTATTAGCTTCTGAAAGGGAACCCCTCTCCCTGTGGCCTGCAGATCTACCCTGGACACGGGAACTGCTCGCGTCTGAGTTCACACACCGTTTTTTTCCTCTTCCTGGTACTTCCTTAGGACATGATTTTAGAAGTAACATTACTGATCAGTGGTGTAACCATTTTATAGATCTCATTAGTTTTATTCTTATTTCTCAAGAAAAAAAATCCCATTTTTACGCTAATAGTAATGTTTGACTGGGCCAGGTCACCACAATTTTGCTACTATGAAATACAGCCTTTTTTACCTTTTTTTTCTAACTTAGGATAGGTATACAATGTGTGCTTTTCAGTTCTTTGATTTTCCTATTAGTTGAACGTTTTCCCTAGTGTTTTATACTTCAAATACACTATTGATCTATGGGATTATTGAACTTGCTCTTTTATTTGAGTGCACTCTTTAAAGATATTGAACATTCTGAGGCATATATAATGTGGCCAGGTTTTGTAGCTCTTTTAAAATGTTCGTTTTTCATTGAATGGGAATTTCAATTTTTGTATAGTTAAATCTGTCAATATTTTCCTGTGCCATTTCTTTTTGAAAGAGACCTTTTAACACATTAAAATTAGCAACATTTTAAATATCACAAAGGCAGTGTGCTGGGACTGCTTACTGACCTCACAGGCAGCAAGGTAAAAAGAAGAATTGACTAGTGCTCAGGAACAAAGCCCAGGCAGAAATGTTAACTCCACAACTCACATATTATGTGGCTTTACTGGGGTCATTTTCTGCCTCTCTTTTGTCCTGCCCTGTGATTCTTAGCACTTAATAGGGCCAGTCTTTCCTCATATCTAATGCAGTATGCAGGATGTTGAGTCCTACCTAGACCGAATCTTAGAATTTCAACAAGATGGACAGCACCATTATTTACGTTGAGTACTGAGTTCTTACGGATCAGAGTGAGAACATCTCTGTGCAGTGCTGCATTTGATTTTGAATTGACACCACAGACAAAGTCATTTAGCACATTTGCTCAATTCTGTTATGAATGGGCCTGGCAGAGCCACATGAAGTATCGTCCTCTCTGCCCATCTGACACGTGCACACACAAAAAGAGCAGTTTCCATACCAACTGTTTAGTGTTTCCAGCAGTTTCATGTTAAGCACAAGCCATCATAGATAGCCAGTGCTCAGCTGCTCACCATCTTCACCAAAAGAGCATAGTGCCACTGCAGACGATGTGCCCTGTGGGTCTGACATCCTTAGAAGTTCACTGCAGGGCTGAGGAAAAAGCGTGTGGTAGAGCACATGTGCTCATTCCTAGGATAAATTCCCAGCACCGGGAAAGAAACAACAAAAGACATAGACTTGTTTTGTCCTTAGACCATCTTCCTATTTTGTTCTGCATCCTCTTGTTGTTGTTAAGGTATTTAGTGGCATTTCATGTTTTCTTTCAGTCTTTACAGAAAAGTACTGTACTGCGAACCATGTGGATAAACTTCCTGGCCCAAGAGACTGGGTACAGATTCTGCAGGATCAGATTAAACTGGCCAGAAGAAGGTTAAAAAGAGGCTCAGGTATGAATAAGCTGGGAAAGAAGCCATTGTGGAAGTGCTTTGTTGAACCCTCTGCCTTTTAAAGCACAGTGCTTTCTCTCTCGGGCACTGTGGCGTCCTTTGCCTCTTGAAGGAGATGTTCTATGTAATGTGCTCTGGTTGGCTCTAGTGAATTTTGAAAGTTATCTTAAGATTGAATAGTAAAAATTATGTAGGCCATTTGCTTTTAATAGTATAAGAGGAAAAGATTGCTAATCTCATCTGTGGCCTAATATGTTTCACATGCAGAATTGAGTCTTCTGTGGTTTGCTTTTATCTTACTATTGATTTCTGTTTGTTTATATCTACATGAGTTTTTTAAGGGACTAATTGCTCAAAGTTTAAAAAGGGGTGGGGGGGAGTAGCAGGATGGTGCACGCCTTTAATTCCAGCACTTGAGATAAAGACAGAGCTCTCCGTGAGTTTGAGGCCAGCCTGATCTACAAAGTGAGTTCCAGGACAACCTGTTCTACATAGTGAGTTCCAGGACAGCCAGGGCTATGTGGAGGAACCCTGTTTCAAAAATCCAAAATAAGCAAAATTCATCCTGTCAGCAATACCACATCAAGTTGGAAGGAATTTAAAGGGTGTGTGTGTGTGTGTGTGTGTGTGTGTGTGTGTGTGTGTGTGTGTGCGCGCGCGCGCGCGCGCACGCGCACGCACGCTTGGCAGATATTTTTCTAGGCAAAGTGAATACCAGTTGAATTGTGACTATATAGATTTGGTCATGAAGTCTCAGCCTCCCAAATCTGACTGTGTATATCATCTTACCAGTTAGAAATCCCTTTGGGGTCAGTTTTCTATCATTCAAGAATAGTTATCTCTACTAGATCACAAGTCTCTAGGTTTTATTTCTAAATTTCATGTAAATTAGTATATCTGTTATAAAAAAAATAGGGAGATTTCTCAAAAACAATAAAAATAGGGCCTCAAGGAGATAGCTCTGTTGGTAATTTGTTTACCTTGTAAGCACAAGGAGTTAAGTTCCCAGAACCCATATAAGAAAATAAGTAAATAATAAAGCATGTCCTTGTAATCTCAGTACTGGATCCATAGGGCTGGCTGGCCGGCCATCTTAGCCCACTGGATGAGTTCTGAGCCAGTGAGAGACAGCACCTGATGTTGTCCTCTGATCACACACACACACACACACACACACACACACACACACACACACACACGAAAACTTTAGTAAAACAGACTCAGTGTTTTAAAGAGACATCTCTATTCCTGTGTTCATGGATGCATTTTCCTAACAGCTTCTAAAACATAGAATCAACATAAGTATCCACTTTACTACATCATTGATAAAGAAAATGTGCTGTATATATGTATCTTCCAAAAGAAGGAATGCCCTGGTTTGCATCACCGTGGGGGGCATTTTGTTAAGGATAGTGAACGGGCACAGAAATGCAGGTACCACGGACTCGCGCTGAGGAATCTGAAAAAGTTGGACTCACAGAAGCAGAGCAGAGAGTGATAACCAGTCACCAGAGCCTGGGGGTCTGGGACGATGCTGGGCAAAGGAACAGAGTTTCAGTTAGACAAAAGGAGTGAGAGTGATTATGTGACGTCATGACTCACACACAGGGTTACTTATAGTATCCTTGAAAATAGTAGAGCTCATATCATGTATTTTCATAAAGTATGTGAATGATACATAGATTAATTCACACATTTACCCATCTACATGTGTATGATTTCAAAAATACCATGTTGTATATCATAAATATGCATGATTTTTTATATTAAAAGAGAATTTATTAGGTTTGCTTCCATAATATGTTTAGAATGGTTCAACAGTAGAGCGTCCCAGAACCCAATGGTTATTCAGTCCTTGGGGCTAGGTTCCCTTCCCCAACCCCCACATCCACCCTGCCCTCATAGTCCTACCTTGAATGAAGGCTGGGGATTCCCGGAGAGCATCTCGTCCCTAGTCCACGTGAGAATCCTAAAGAAGCTGTTTCTAATGTCAGCAAAAGGAGTCAGTACCAGCAGCAGCAGCAAGGTAGATGAGTTCACCAGTGAGAGTGAAGGCCAGGAGAGGAAAAACTTTCCTCTTATGTCTTTTATCCAAGCAGCTACTAGAAAGTTCTGCCCACATTCAGAGTGGATCTTCCCACATAATTAAGGCAGTCTCCTACAGGCCACATCATCTTGACAATGCCTTGAGATTCTTCCCAAGCTCATCTAGGTGTGTCACATTGACAGTTCAAGCTAACACCACACTCATGTACTATTTGGCCCTCCTGCAGAAAGGAACTGCCTTGACACATGAACTTAGTTTATTTCTTTTTTATTATTATTAAATTTATGCATGATTTTTATTTGTCAAATGAAAATGAAGTCCAGATCACCTTTACAGCAGGCCTTGGGGATCTGCGTGACTGGAGCGTTAGAAAGTTTGGAAGGTAGACTTGGGGACTGAGGTGCCCCTCATTTAAGATGCTGTGGAGGTGTGTGAGGGTACTGCTACGCACCGCATCTCTGGGTGTTTGACGCTGCCATAGCGGAACAACCGAGTCTGTTCATTTTAATGAACAGAAGTTCATTGGCTCACAGTTCCGGAGGCTGGAAACCGAAGACTGAGGGCTTTCTTGCTGCATCAGCCCGTGAAAGAAAGGCGTAGAGAAAGTGAGAGAGAGAGGGGGGTGGGGGGAAAGGGAGGACAATCTCACCCTTCCTCAGTGGCAGGATTGTGTCCTGGCCACCTCTCACCAGGCTTCTCCCACCACTGCTATCTAGGGATTGAGCCCCCAGTACCTCGTCTTTGGGGGACACTTTCAGACCATAGCAATCTGTAACAGGTGAGTGTTAGTTGAATCTTTCCCAGTGCAGCCCTGGCCTCCGGCCTCGGACTCGACAGCCAAACTGGCCTTCTCTGTGGTACTAAAACTGGCTGCTCTCCCACCGTTCACAAGCACTGCAGAGCCTCCCTCCTCCTGAACCTTTAGTAGAGGCCCCAACACACGGACTCCTGTCGCCTGTAGAGTCCCTTTGCTGTTCCCTGGATGATGAACTCCTCCAAAGAGCAGGGTCTGCTTCGAAGTCATGTTTGTGTCCCACATGACAGTGTGAGCCAGGGCTGACTCTCAAGAAATATTTGAGTGAATCAAGAACACGTCAGTAATTACAAAAAGGAAGACACAGCAGTCCACAACAAACACCTTGTTTTCCTGGTCAGAAGAGGAAATCCTGCAGAGCAGTGCCCTTTCTCACTTACGGTTCAAATGTTGATTCTGTTCCCTGTAGACCATGGGCAGCGGTGTCCTGAACTCTGCCCCCTGGAGGAAAGTCCTTCGGGCTCCTAGTGTCACTTCATGTCCTCATCTCAGAATCCTCCTAGTTCTGCTTCATCAGCACTTTCTCTCACTTCCTTCTCCGTTTCAGCTGTTTCAGTACTTCCTTTCCGGTCTCTTTTCTTCTCCCGTCCTCCCCCAGAGATTCAGAGTCCCGTATCCCGTGGACTCACCTCATCCAGGAGATGAACCTCCTAACGTGACTTTCTACTCAAGTGCATGCTTCTGCCCTGAGTCACATCACAAAAGCCCCTCCCCTGTAGTACTTGTACCCCTCTCCCACTCCTGGGAGGGACTAAGACAGGAATAGGAAGGAAAGAAGAAAGGAAAGAGGAAACGCACAGGTGAGAGACCCGTAAGTGGCCCCATTGGATCGACCCAGTGTTAGTCCTCACTGAGCAGTGATGTGTTCCTTCCGTTTTATAGGAAGGCAGGTTTCACGCCTTGGGCCTGAGTGGCACCTGTGCCAGTATGAAGTTGGTTTGTGTTTCCTAGCTTCTGCCTGGAACGGCTCAGCTGTTGGATATGTAAAGACTTCATCCATGTACCTGTTAATCTGAAAGGAAAAATTGTTGGCCCAAAATACAAAGACACCAAATATTCAGATTTGAGAGAAATATAAACATGTCATGAGGAAGAGAGATAAATCTAGTATCAGCAAGCCAAAGGCAAGAGAGGACCAGCGATCAACAAGTCAGCCCCCTTACTGCCTGCTGCCAGATGCGTACTGACTTCAGACTTCCCTGGATAGGCCAGCAACTACCTGCGCATGCGGCTGCTCCCTTTCCATTTCCTGGGGACTGGTGGGAATGAACAGGAAACTGCGAGAATTGTGTCAGCTCCTTGAGATTTGTGTGTGTTTGTTTTGTTTTTCGAGACAGGGTTTCTCTATGTAGCTTTGGCTCCTGTCCTGGATCTCGCTCTGTAGACCAGGCTGGCCTCGAACTCACATAGATCCACCTGCCTCTGCCTCCGGAGTGCTGGGATTAAAGGCGTGTGCCACCATGGCCTGGATCGCTCCTTGAGATTGTAAGGAAAAGGAAGTATCTGGCCCCAGACTAATGATGCTCCTAGCCACAGCACTACAGGACTGCCTGGAAAAAGACAGGGTTTTGTGTCCCAGGGCTGGCACCTCCGGAGGAAAAGAAATTCCTGTCAGACCGAAAAATGGTACATTTTAAGAAAATCTGTAAAGGCGGGAGTCATAGAAAGTCAGGACACTGGAGGAGGCTATTCCTGTGGAAAAGAGATGCACAGTCCTGCCACACCCACCACAAGGTGAAAATAGTTCCATTCAAACTTCATTCTTGTAGTGCATTCTCCATGTGACCTGTGGGGGTTTCTCCTCACTGTGACCAAGCACATGACAAAGGCCACTCAAGGGAGGCTTTGTTTGGGTTCAGTCTGAAGAGATGTAGTCCATCTTGATGAGGAAGGTGACTTTCTGATGGCAGGAATGTCATTGGGACTCCTCATCTCCTCACATCTCTATGAAACAGAAAGCAGAGCCGCTCAGGTTGGAACCAGGAGACCAGGCCCAGGCTCTAGCCCATCAGCCTACTCCCAGTTACCTCCTTCTGCCGGCCAGGCCTCCTAAAGGTGTCACAACCTCCCAAAACAGTACTACCAGCTAGGAAGCAAGTATTCAGACACAGGAGGTCAGTGCGGGGCAGGGGGTGCAGACCTGAATCCTTCCTTTGTCAGATGCTGAGACCAGGGTCAAGGGTCCTTGTTTCTTTTGCCTTTCCACTCTTCACACCAGCACACACATCTGCACACAGAAGGGATGCGCCCCTGCAGTTCGCTCCATCCTCACCCCACACTGGCCAGTGACTATTTCTTAATCATCACAGCATTTCTGTTTACAGTTTGCATCCCAAATGTTCACACACATACACACACACACACACACACACACACACACACACACACACACACACACACACACCTGTTTCTCCAGAAAGAGACCTAGACTGCTGCATGCTCCCTAACTCCCCCTTTCCTATGGAAGCCCTTCACTGCTTAGCTCAGGAGATTGACTTGAGACATCAGCACAAGGATGTGACTTGAGACATTGGAACATTTGATGAGCAGGTTTACACACATGCTCTACCTGGACATTTATGATGTGTTGAGTAGACTGTCTTAACCACTGAGAAGGAAGGTGCCTCTAAGAAAGAACCACCCTGACATCTAGGCCAAACTAGATTAAAACTCAGCCATGGCAGACAGGGTTTGTCTCTGTGTGTGAAACACTGGTCCACTTCCTCAATAGCACAAAGCTGGGACTCCAGCAAGCAGATGAGAACCACTTGCCCTTCCTGAATGAGGCCAGGCTCTAGAATGTGACTGGCTCTGGGGTTTTCATCTTGATTATTTTCCATCAAAATGATAATACAGTGTGTTAAAGGTATTCCACAACTTCCACAGCCTTATTTATCATACTTGGCTCAGCTCCTAGAACTGGGTCCAGACTCCGACCAGACGGAGCTAATCAGCTCACCACGTAGGGAAGCCTGTGCTGCCTGGAGGAGAAAGCCATGTCCCACGCGACTGGAAAGGTCGTTATGCAAATCCAAACAAATTCATTTGGGGCTCTCATCACATGTAATAATTTTTTTCTATAACTAGAATTCCGTTCCTGGTGTGGATTTTTATCATCTTTATTAGATTACTTCCTCAGAGCTGAAATCACAATTTATTGTTTGCGTTAGATCCAGGGGTAAAGCTGTCACTGCTACTAAATTTTTATTGGACTTGCTCAGTCTTTTCCAAATTTTACAACTTGATCATCGCCAGAGAAGAGAGGCTGTGAGCTTGTTGTTACAGACGGGTGTTATAATTAACACCCTGATGTTCTTCACCCATGACACTTGCCCTACGCATGCAGCCAATATATATGAATTTATATAGTTTACATATATTTAGGTTATACATTCTGACAAAATATATAACCTAAGTATATGTAAACTATATATGTTCTGTTCTGACAAAAGCACATGATCGTGGAGGTTTGCATATAAAAAGTATGGGTGGGGCTGGAGAGATGGCTCAGAGGTTAAGAGCACTGGCTGCTCTTCCGGGGTCCTGAGTTCAATTCCCAGCAACCACATGACGACTCACAAAAAATATGGGTAGGAGCTGGAGACGTGACTCAGTAATTACGACCACGGCTGCTCTTCCAGAGAACTTGGGTTCAATTCCCAGACCTACATAGTGGCTCACAACAGGCTATAACTCCAGTTCCAGGAGATCCCCTGCCCTCTTCTGCCCTCCACAGGCCTCAGGTATACAAGTGGTTCATGGACATACATGCAAGCAAAACATTAATAAACAAAATTTTTAAATATATTATTTTTAAGTAAGGGTAGCTGAATTACAAAGGAAGGCCACCTCAGACCCCAAACTAATTTTTGTCAAAACTAAATGAAAAGCAGACATATGTTAAGGTAGAAGAAATTACTAAAATATAAAGTGAACTAGAACTTGAAGACTTTAAAAAATTAGCTTGTAACTGCACATGGGCTATATATGTATTATTAAGAGCCAGAGATTGAGAGTCCAGATCGAAGCCAGTCTTAGCTTTGGCATTGTCCCTCACGAGCCATAATTTAGTTTCCTTACCTCCGATTCCTAGTATTAACCCAAGCATAGTATCAGACATACCCCATAAGACTTTCTGTCAGTCAGATGACAAATTGCACACAAAGTACTCAATTATTATTGAGGCCATTTATTATTACTGAAGAATTTTTAAGCTCTGCTAATAAGACAACTACGATGTAAACCGCCTGCCTTTCGGCTTCATTGAAACCAGTCAGAAGGAAATGATGATTTCTAAATAGAAAAGGCATTCATTGTTTCTTAACATATAAAAAGTTTTTTTCAAAAACCCTAAGAACCAAGCTAAGGAACTGGATCCATGGGTAAAGTGTTTGCTGCACAAGCAGGAAAATTTGGGTTCGGATCCCCAGCAGCACCCTTATAAAGCAGCCAGGTGTGGTGGTGCACATCTGTAACGCCAGCACTCGGATGCTGGTAGATGCAGGCAGACCCCAGGGCTCACTGACTGGCCAGTCTAGCTAAAACTGCTAGCTTCAGGTTCAGTGAGAGAACTTATCCCAAAAATTAATGTCGAGAATGACAGAGGGAGACACGTGACAACCTGGGGCCTCCGAGTGTGCAAGGGCATGTATGCACGCATGTGCACACACAGAGTCCAACCAGAATACCTAATGCCTTTTATCCAGAGAATTTTGGTACGTCTGACAAATTTTCTGTGAATCACCTTACCCAACTATTAAATATTATCAACATCATTTTTAATAGTTTCTACTCCAATCAAAATTGGCTGTGACTGTTCCATCTCTTCTCTGTTTTCTTTCTGGTGAATCACCTGGGCCAGCAGACACTGATGCCAGATCTACTCACCTAAGGACAAGATATTAGAGACTAAACTAGAGGTTTAGGCAGAGATGCTTGGAACATCTCTGGCTGAGTCTGTCCCTGGGGTGTTTAAAGCACCAACAGTGAAATGAGAATATAGCACTGCTCTGGCTTTCCTGCATCTCCACACAGCAAGGTGGAGCAAAAGGCAACCTCAGGGCACACAGTACAGTCAGCAGGGACTTTGGGGGGGCGCAGAAAGGCTATAGAGGATGCCACCAGAATGATCCCAGTAGCCATATGCGAATGCTTCCTCTGTCCCTAGTATGTTAGGAAAGGCTCACTCCCTTGAGTTACCAGGAGACTTATAAACTGCTTCTCTTTACATTTAATAGAAGGTGTGTGTGTGTGTGTGTGTGTGAAGGATCACACTTTGCAAAACCATTAAGGAGACTGAAACATATCAGTAGAGCAAGGCTTGCGTTTTAAATCACAAAAGAGAGGAATCTTTTGAAAAAAATACGGATTTTTCTCTCCATGGTTTCCTTATGACTAAATGGATCCAGGAGTTAGACTGACAGCTCCAGAACCAGGCATCTCCAGAGAAAGTTCATTCTGAGAATTCCAGCTATGAGTGGCTTGGGGAGTTGTGTGGGCTGGGTGTGTGTGTGAAGATTACAGTTCTACAGCCAGAGGCTGTAGGTTAAGGGCCTTCGGTGTGTGGTTGAACAGGCCATCCACTGCTGCTTGGAGGTTTAAGCGTATGAGAACAAGACAAAATGAACTGAAATCACCCATGATTGACAAAATAAGGTCAGAGAGTTTTCAAGTTTTAATACAGGAAGGTTGACTTCCTGTCAACATCATCCAAACAAAATTGTGTTTAAATAATGATGCTCAAACCTGTAATGTGAACCAAGCGAAGTGAACGGTGAGAAGAAAGATGAAAGGCACTGTGTACACTGGAGTCTCTTTAATTGTGTTCCTGTATTCAGCAAAATGAATGTGCTCCCTACAACTAATGAGATTTGTGTTTTATGTTTGTAACCAGCAGAGGCAGCTGACGGTGATGAAAGACTGGACGGCATTTCTCTACCACCAACAGGTAAAACACATTTCCATTTCATCGCCCGCTGCCAGGAAACATTTGCATTGAAAATGCTTTTACCATTAGGGATGCAAGGGCTTGAGCAAGCTGCTTCTGGAATAGGCACAGGCCCTCACAGTCCCCAGTTTCTTGGGGGCCTAGGTTCAGAGCTGGTTTTACATTGGATATGAAAAGCAATGTTTTTCTCACACCCTATTTCATATTCATAAAAATCTCAGAAATGCAAATCCTAAGACATTAAAAGGCATTTTTAATATAAAACAACATTTAGCTTTAAACCAGGATTGTCAACTTTGTGTGACCAAATTCAGGCCCATTTTTTCTTATTCCACCAAAAGGCCTTTGAGAGGCATGCCTCCACACTCTTTGCTTAGTAACTCCTGTGTTAAGTGTGATTGAACAAGCCAGCCCATCCGGTGTGAATGGCACACTCCTGGTATTTGAACCAGATCAGAAAATGCAACAGATCACTGAAGCATTCGCTGCACACTTGTGTTCAACTGTGGGCTTGATTATGACCTCATCGCAAGACTCTGGTGTGATGCCTCTGACCCTCACTTCCTGCCTGTGTATAAGTTCACACACAAGAGTAAAAGAATAGGTGCCTGATCAGTGAGCCATGTGTCAAACCGTCTATCCCTCACTTAGTCCCGGGACTCCCTATTCACTGCTCTTCAAAGATTCTCTGAATATTCCATCCATAAAATCCAGACAATCCAAACAAACCTTGAGCTATAAAAAAAAGAAAGCTCAATTCAGTGGGTTTTTTGTTTTATCTGTTTTTTCTAGATCTGGGGCAGTGAGACTTGAATTAAATTGAGAAAATATGAATGGAGTATGTAGTATATTTTCAGGAACTCTTAGTAGAGTCCCTAGTGGTCACATGATCTTGATAACACGGATCTTGGGGTGTTCACTAAAGTGAAGCTCATAGGTAAACTCAGAGCTGCCAGAAGCCCCAGCCATGTAAATTACACCTTGCTTCTCTGCCTTGAGTAGCCAAATAACAGATCAATGGACAGATAGATGAAATGGACCACAACAGTGCACAGAATATCTGCATATATCTAGTTCTTAGGATCTTCTTCTTATTTCTCTCTTCGTTTGTCTGTGTTTCTGTACTTGTGAGTGAAGAGAGTAGAATGTGTGATCTCTAGTATTCCTTACCACCCTCTGAGTACCAGGACAACTCATACTGACAATACTTCTATCATCTTTGACCCATTCCCAGCAGGTGAAGGAAATACTAATCATAATGATGAAATTATGGCTCAGGGGCCTTGGGGAGGAATGTCATACTTTCTAGTTGTCCCCTGGGCATCTGCAGCAGCTGTCCTGTGTCACATGACATAGTGGCTTTATTAAAGACTGTGCATCTTGCAAATATACCTTTGCATTTAACTGTTTGAAGATTGAGGCAGAGATATTTCGGAGGAAAAGACAGCCCAGGGATGCTAGAGTAGTTTCACAGGACTGACAAGCTGCAAAGGAACCTGAAAATGAAGGGTGTAGTCAGAAGTCTCTGTCCTGCCAGCAACTCCCAAATACCCAGCAGCTGCTTCCCGAACTACCACACAGAGGTTTTTACTAATTACAAATGCTCAGCCAGTAGCTCAGGCTTATTACTAACTAGCTCTTACACTTAAATTAACCCATAATTCTTATCTATGTTCAGCCACGTGGCTTGGTACCTTTTCTCAATATGACATTCTCATCTGGCTTCCACTGCATCTGCCTGGCAACTCCTGACTCCACCCTTCCTCTTCCCAGAATTCTTAGTTTGATTGCCCCACCTATACTTCCTGCCTGGCTACTGGCCAATCAGCATTTTATTAAACCAATTCAAGTGACAAATCTTTAGTGTACAGGAGCATTGTTCCTGTACAGAAGGGGACTTGGGAGTTCATCTGGACCAATCCCTCCTTTTTATCCAGCCCTTTTATTTTCCAGGGAAAAAAGCCCGAGGCCCAGAAACATTAAATGACTTTTCCAAGGTGGTGATAGCATGGCTGGGCCCAGTCCCCTCAACTCCCAGCCATTATAGCATAGGGCTTTCTTATACCTAACCCAAAACCAGCTTTTCTCTGTGTTTCTTCAAGATCCCGGGAGACGATGGGCGTGCAGTCCCATTAGGGTTCCATTTTGCGTGGTTCAGTCTTCACATTACAATGTTTGGCATCAGTCTACCCAAAGTTCATTCCAGTGTAAGCTCATTTCTTCACTTCCTTTCTTAAGTTCTGTTGAGGCTTGGAGGTGATAAAGAAGGAGGTAGACTGTTGGTAGATATTGGTAGACACAGACACAAACTGCTGAGCGGCACGGCGTATGTCTTTAAAGGGTTTATCATTTTCTTAGGTTCTGTTGAGGCTTGGAGGTGATAAAGAAGGAGGTAGACTCTTGGTAGACATTGGTAGACACAGACACAAACTGCTGAGCGGCACGGCGTATGTCTTTAAAGGGTTTATCATTTTCTTAGGTTCTGTTGAGGCTTGGAGGTGATAAAGAAGGAGGTAGACTCTTGGTAGACACAGACACAAACTGCTGAGCGGAGCGGCGCGGCATATGTCTTTAAAGGGTTCATCATTTTCTTAGATTCTGTTGAGGCTTGGAGGTGATAAAGAAGGAGATAGACTCTTGGTAGACATTGGTAGACACAGATACAAACTGCTGAGCGGCACGGCGTGTGTCTTTAAGGGGTTCATCATTCTGGAAGAAGAGGGAAAGAGGTCACAGATTGGCTCTTAGATTCTGAGTATCAAATAATCTTGATAGCACACTTCGTGGTTGCCTTCTAAAGTAAAATCCACAATGTGGCCGGGTTGCCATGGTTACAGTGTTGCTGCACATCACCCCTCCACATGCCCTGACGGCCATCCAAAGCAGTGGACACCTGTCATATACACATAGTTGCAATGGCTCAGCCTCACCGGCAGAGCTGTGGAAACAACACATTCAAACCACATCCCCAGCTCCTCATTCATCTGAGCTGACCAAAGTTGATCCTTTGTGAAGATCCAGTGGTGCTTTTTTACTTTAAATGTCTTTTTGTTCCTTTAAATTTTGTATCAAGGAGAGATGAGGGAAGATGTTGCTGTGAGCCTCTAATGATCAGGGCAGAATTACATTCAGTCAGTCAGATGGCCTTTGTTTCCAGCTACAGTTAAGCCTCAAAAGGGGCCTCATGTAGCCCAGGCTAGCCTCTGGCTTTGCGTTCCTGATCCTCTCACCCCGCCTCCTGAGTGCTGGGACATAGGCATGGACATCACACCCTGCTGAAATGTGTTACCCTGTTCAGTGAGCCTTGTGAGCAGCAGTCAGCACCGTTCTTGGGTCTGATGCCGCCCTCAGACAGGGGCGAGACAGATGTGGAGGAGCAGTCGATCAGGAACTGCTCCCAGAATCTGGGAACAGTTGACATTTAAAGAAAAAGTGTGTAAAGTCGAATCAAAGTAGTTCCTTTTCAGTTTGAAGATTGGGCCTCTGGACTTGACAGGGTAATGTGTGTCTGGACTTAGCAATTTACATTATCAATCAGCGTTCTTTTGTGGGTTTTGTGTTTTAGAAAGCCCGAGTAAGAAAATGTACTTAATATTACTACTCAGAGACACTGTTGGTGCTGTTTCCCCTACATTCAACTTTTCTCTCTTTGGTTTATTTATCTAATGAAGATCAAATATACGGAGTTTGTCTCCTGAGTTCTTTGACTTTCACCTAAGAAGCATTTTTCCCACTCTATCCAAGTCTGCACACGCATTACTAGCTATTTAATAGTGTTTTCAGGTAAGTCATATTTAGCTATTTTCTATTGCTGGACTATACATCACTAATGGTAATATCTAGTCATGGGCTTTCTTGTTTTAAAATCATCAAAAATTCCTAATTCTTGAAATTATTCATCTAGCACAATTAAAGCTGATGCTTTAGTGACTTAACTGGACAGCACAGGCGTGTACCCCACCCCCAATCCCTTCTCCACCCAGCCCTGGCCGTGTGAGAAAATGCACAGCTCTGCCTTGTCGACACAGCTCCCTCACTGTGTTGTCTCTGTCGTAGGTAATGTGTTTGTCATCAGGAGAGACACCGTGGAGGACCCAGAGCCAGGTTCCATCGCCTAGACCTGGATTGTAGCATACTCTTGCATTTCCTCAAAGGTCCACGGAGGAGTTGAGGTTCCTGCAGTGTGGGTGTTCTGTGGTGGCTTGTCCTGTCTGAATAATTTCTTTGTAACATGTGGTATCACAACTCCGATTTGGCATAATCTTTTCTTAAAAGAAATCATGCTTAGAGTTGTTACCTTTTAAAAGTCCAGCGTGTGACCCATCATAAAGAAGCAGTTCTCTTCCCGTTTCTATTCATTCACAGTCTCTGTGTGATACACAGTCTTTTTAAACATATTTATTTGATTGTAATTGCGTAGCTGCATGCAGAGGAAACCTCTTTCTAGGACTGATGGAGGTTACGAAGCAGCCCTAACTAACCCTTCAGCTTAGAGAAGGAAAGGCCGTTCTGGGCGATGGGATAGCTCTGACCTGGTCTGTGAAGTCATGTATGACGTCAGTCATAGTAACCCAAAACAGTCATTCAGAACTGAAGTACCAGTGATGTAGGAGTTTTTAGGAAATAAAGCACTTTCACATAATTTATGATGATGTAGTGGCAAAAGAGTGAAAGTAACCAGCCGTCAAGCATCTGACTACGGTTTAAACGGAGTGGCTTTGACCCTGTGTTCATGTTCGTTCTATAGCCTATTTGGTCCTCATATACTTGCCTTCCACTTTATGTAAAACTAAATATGAGAAAAATCTGGGTTTATTTTAAAGAAATATTTGCTGTGTGGAAATTTGTTTTACCGAAATATTTACCTCCACATTTGTTTTGCTAATGAAATAGTGCATTGAAATACACTCGCATTTACACCATATTTATCATGTAAAGCAATTGCCTTGAATCTTGGGCACTTGACACAGAAAGCCAAAATTGCCATAAAAGTCATATATGTGACTGTCAATCCACCAAACCCCAGGGATAAAAACTACCGTGACAGACGCTTAGCCTTTCCCGAGTGTTCGTTTCAGCCGCAGGTTAGAACCACCAGTTAGTGCTGCTGGGGCTGAGTCCCACCCCCTGCTTTGCCCGACAGAACTGAGAAATAGGGATGCGGTTGCCTGGGGTCAGGTCACCCTTCCTGGCCAGCTGGACATAGAACCTGGACATCCAGTGTACCGTATTACCTCATACTGAACATGTACTAAAGATCGGAGGACTAGGGCAGTACTCCACTGAGACCAGCTAATCAATGAGGATGATATGTGATATCCCCGGAATGTGACGACATGTGCTTTTAGGTGTTGCTTGTAGTCCATTTAGCAACTAGACGGCAGCATCTCATATGTGTTCCTTCTATGTCTCCTCCTTTGGAGCAACAGGGTCGGCTTGGAAATTTCCCATCACATCCTTCAGTTACTGATTTCTGTTTCCAGCCGGCCCTAAACCTTTTGTTTTATTGAGTGGACTGATGAGTGGCAGACATACCAGGACTTTCATTTAATTCTGCAACAGTTCCTGAAAAAAAAAAAGTCATCTGCCTCCTAGAATGAATTACTCCTCAAGGGAATAGAGAAGCTGAACTAGTACCCTTCAGTCTATGAAATGGTGGTGAATTTGTTTTCAGTACAGGGAGAACATATACTCACCACTGTAGGCCTGTTCAGTATGCACTATAAACCTTCAGAACACACTTCCTTCGGAGCCTCGGTGACAGCTTGGAGTTCACAATACTTGAGGAGGGTAGGCATCGTTCAACTCACAGATAAGTGCAATGGATTCACAAATTGGAAAGGCAGATCAAAACTGCAACAGTAAAATCATATTTTGTAAGTTTAAATTGTATTTGTGTTAACCTACTGTGACTACTGTTCAGCTTTGTTCAGAAACCCTTTTTATAGGCTTTCTTAGCAAAAAAAAAAAAGGTCCATATCTATGGATATGTCTCAGTCTTCTGTACATATGTTTTATTAATATGTAAATATTCAGATTTTTTAAAATTACTATGTTCTTTTAAAAAGAATTCAGTGCAAAGCTAGTTGTGAAAATGGTGTGTAACACTGTGTTGTGATATCAACTCCCAAGATGCCCTTTATGTCCATTCTGGAAAAATAAAATAAATTACTTTAATTGAATGCACGCGTGTCTTGCTTGCATCCCAGTCTTCTGTGTTTATGAAGTCTATGCTGTTCATTAATTAAAAGGTATTTATGAATATTCTGATGATTTTTCTTAGGAGTTATGACTCTGTGGAAAATTATGTTTACAAATCATGCAAACAGATTTCTAGCAGAGTGAGAGTCTGGTAGATGTTAGAGTCACAGCTCTGTCTGGTAGTCGGATCAATGGCTACAGCAAGTCCCACTGAAACACTCAGGCAGTAAGTAGTGAGAGGCTCAAAGCCTAATTTTAAATGAATTAGGTAGCCTTATAATCTTCACTTAAAAGGTTAAGCCCTGCTTCTATGGAAACAACACACCAGAAGGCCAGATCAATCTCTGCCAATGTAAAGTGGCAGCTAAAGCGGACTGCGCTGTTCTCTTCTCTCAGCACAGGGGGGCGCTGTGCCTCGCTTGGGACTGCTCCAGTCTTGTTCCCAAGTGCATACTCAATCCCCTGCTCAGAGCATGTGGCACTCCAGGCTAGGATCTGGCTCCACTGGGGATTTACTTCAGGGTCTGTTCCAAAATGAAGGCTTTGAGCTGTTTAGAACTGGAGTGGTGACTTGTGGTGGCAAGGGGTAGCTGTTGCTTAAGAACACAGCTGGACCGGAGGAAAGGAGGCAACAGAGTGAGCTGTTTGCAAAAGAAAATCTGCAGTCCATATAAATCTTCACACCCTTTTTTTGCTATTTGAAGCTGGGAGCCTGCCTCAAGCCATCCCCTCCTGCCATATCCCCTCTCCTTTGTGGGTTCCTTGTATCCATGAAAATACTTGTTGAAGGATCCATGTGATGCTTAAGTGCCCAGAGTCACTGGGATGCACTTGCTCCCTTATGCTGGCAAGGACTGGTCCTAGCAGAGGGCCTCTAATGGGCTTTCTAAGCTGGTGTGAGCAAGGGAGTGTCCACAGTAGGAGGACCCACTAGCAGGGGAAGGCCAACAAATTAGTCAGTGGTCTTCCTCCAGTGCCCCAGCCTTACCAAGTGATTGACTGGTTCCATGGGCTTATTTCCCAACGCCACCCAAGTTCAGCTCCACCATGTACCCATCACAACCAGGTCAGACCTGTGATGGCTTCCGGACAACCAGGTTGAGGTGCAAGGGCCAAACTGGAGAGGCACCTTGCACCAAACTGTACCAGGCTCCTTCCCTCCCAAGACATTAGGACATCAGGTCAGCCACTGGAACAGTTTGAATAAAAGGTCCTGGTTAGTATCTTATGCTGATCCATTTGAATGAAGTAGGGGTCAGTCCACTGTGGGAAGAGCTATGGAGAGAGAAAAGGAACGCAGGGCAAACCCAGCCACATGTGTGCACAAGAGGAGAAAACAAAAAGTAACAAGCTTGGGTTGGAGAATGGAGGGAGGTGCTAGCTGGGGTTGGAGAATGGAGGGAGGTGCTAGCTGGGCCTGGACAATGGAGGGAGGTGCTAGCTGGGCTCTCATTTGTGCCCAGATACAGACCACAAGGTAGTGGTTCAGAGAAGGACAGGTGAGTCTCATCTATATATAAACACAGTGATTGATTCTGTAACTATTGACAACATGCTTAGAACTATATCAAGATCATGAAAATGAGGGATGGGGAAGATGTCCTCATTTCTTGGAAGAGGAGACAAAAAAATAAGAGCCAGAGGTTGAGGAGGGAAGACTGGAGCCAAGCTGTCTTCGGACATGACAGGACCATTGTATCCATGAACTTGCCTGTACAAGACCTGTACAAAATTAAACCAGTCAATATTCTAGCATGGAGGGGGGGGGGGTCACAAGTCCCCACCCCCAACTGAGGAGCTATTGTTTGGCAGTTGATGGCTTCTAGGGAAAGGAGAGTCTGTTTTCTTTAAAGGCGTGGCTCCAGGGAACAGACCTCACACCCATGAGTATCTGGGCAGCACAAATGGACTAAGTGGGTTATTTTTTTAAAAAAGGGGGGGCATGAGGTTGGGAGGGGGTTGGAAGGTAGTGACAAATCTGAGAGGAGGAGGGGGTGAATATAGTCAAACGACACTGTATGAAAGTCTCAGAGAATTAGTTTAAAAAAAATAGTAGTTTTTTTAAGATGCCCTCATTGAGCACTCGCTCAACACCATGTTACCCATTGGGACATCCAGCAGAACCCTGTGGGAAACAGCTACATTTAAGGCTACTTTACCAGAAAGGACGGGCTTTCAACTTGCAAGCTTTGTCCCAAAGTGGGAGCAATTACAATCTGTAGCACCATTCATTTCCCTCAATTCATCTCTTAGCTAATCGTCAAGGACTATCCACTCACAAGTAGCCACCAAGCTCCATCTAATCAGATTTTACCCAGGTTGCTTAATGCTCTCTGGAATCATTTGTGTGTACTTGGTTATTAATGTTCTGCTGGAATCTAGGCCTCATGATGTCAGGGAGCTCATCTAGGAGACCATTAAGATTTTTGGCCCTCTGAAAACATTCGTAGCCAGCTTTCCCAGCAAGAGTGAGTTGGCTAAGAAACTTATATGCAATCTAGTCATCCTGCCCACAGCAAATTGTGGTCTTCTGGTGTATGACTCATCTTTCCCTGGCTTTGACAAGACACTTGGGGTAAACCAACTTAGGGAAGGAAATTTTTATTTTGGCTCACAGTTTCAGACATTTAACAGATTCCACATTGCTGTGGCTTGTGTTGATGCAGAGGATCATGGGCGAGAGTGCTGTGGAATGTCTTTCTGTACTCTGTGAATGTGTGTTGCTCTAATTGGTTGATAAATTAAGCTGTTTGGCCAATGGTGAGGCAGAATAAGGTTAGGCTGTGGTGATATTGTGTTTCCCAAAATATTGTGCACCCTAATAAACTTATCTGGGGTCAGAGAACAGAACAGCCACTAGATATAGAGGCCAGAAAGTTGTGGCACTCACACCTTTAATCCTATCACTTGGGAGGCAGAGATCCATCCTGATCTCTGAGTTCAAAGCCACACTGGAAACAGCCAGGCATGGTAACTCACGCCTTTAATCCCAGGAAGTGATGGCAGAAAGCAGAAAGGTATATAAGGTGTGAAAACCAGGAACTAGGACCTGGTTAAGCTTTTAGGCTTTTGAGCAACAGTTCAGCTGAGATTCATTCTGGATGGGGACTGAGGGGCTTCCAGTCTGAGGAAACAGGATCAGCTGAGGAATTGGCAAGGTGAGGTGGCTGTGGCTTGTTCTGCTTCTCTGATCTTCCAGCATTCACCCCAATAACTGGCACCGGGTTTGATTTTATTACTAAGAACTTCTAACAATTCATGATACATTAGGCGGTAGAGTAAAACTGAAGGTGGAGGCAAAAGGGTGGAGTCAAAGAGATGCCAGCCCGACGCCCAAGGAGCAACAAGGTGCCAGCAGACCGGTAATGCCATGGCCATGTGGCAACATACAGGTTAATAGAAATGGGTTGAATTAAGTTATAAGAGCTAGTTAATAAAGAGCCTGAGCCATAGGCCATACAGTTTGTAATTAATATAAGCCTCTGAGTGATTATTTTATAAGCAGCTTCGAGAGCTCAGGGGAGAGATTCATCCAGACCATAGGGACAAACCTAGGCAGGACCAAGAAACTTCCCTCTAAATGAGAGTGTATAGCAGAGTGTAGCTGCTCACCTCATAGCAGCCAGGAAGCAGGAAAAGGGAGAGATGGGGGGAGGAACCTTTAGAAGGCATGCCCTCAGTGACCTTCTTCTACCTAGGCTCACTCTGACTAGCCCATCCATCTACAAACTCATCAGTGGAGGTCCAGCCACCCCTTAGCGACCTCCACCTCTGAAAACTGCTCTGAGGTCCAAGCCGAGATTCTAGACCCCACCCCCACCTCCAGTACCACCCATTAAAAAAAGCAGCTCACCTCTCACCAACCCAAGTGCTGAGCCTTTTATGAGAGAACCAAGAAAAACCAGACCACTGGCAACATTACGCTATGCTGGTTTCTCTGCAGGAAGGCCAGGAAGGCAGAGACCTAACACAACACTGTCCATCCTTTTTCATCCTATAGTTTAGATCATGTGGGCTACTCTGTCACCCACCTACTGCTTCCATAAACAATGGCAAAATTGTGACAATTGGTGGCCAAAGAGACACTGGCCATGTTTGATGAGGATTTCACAACTCAGACTTTCAACCAGTGCTCTGGTTATACACAGATCAACTCCTATATTTGGTAACTCAAAGTACATGAAATTGGGCATCCCCCAAAAAGCAATATATAGAGAGATATATTACATGCATATGTATATATGTTTAGTGCTTATTTTGTTATTAGTGAAAATGAACATTCAAAGAATGATAGTTAAAAGGCCAAGGAATGCTCTAGAAACAGAATTCAGATGATATAATACCCCAGTACATTTTACATATAACTTATAACCCAAATTAAGTTGATGTTCAAAGGCCTTTTTCATTGTTTTACTTGGTATCGTTTAGATTTGTAGATTGAGAAGTTAGACATTTTAAATACTAAAATTTGGAGCTAGAGAGATGGCTCATGGTTAAGAGCACTGGCTGTTCGTCCAGAGGACCCAGTTCAATTCCTAGCACTCACATGATGGCTCAAACCACCTGGAAATCCAGTTCCAGGGGATCTGATGACTTCTGGCCTCCTCAGGTACCGGGTGTACACAGACATACATGCAGGCAAAACACCCATACAGACAGATAAAATTCTGTTTTAAAGCCTACATTTAATATACTTCCGTTCATTCCTTTTAACTACTCCTCTGGAAGTGCAGCCGATGCAGGTGTGTTGAACGGTTTCTGACCAGCCCTCTTCCTGTTATGTGAGCTCTTCCACTCAAGGCTGAGACAATTTCGAAAAGGTGGAGGGCCCTGGTGAATATGAAGTGAAAATCAATTTTACAGGGGAAATGGAGCATCCTAAATTGTTACAACTAAGTGACTGATGCCAACTGCATATTTTGTTAGAAAAACCGCTTTCTGCTCTATTCTAGCAGGAGTGGGAAAGAGGCTGTTATAATAGAGGGCACTCACCCGGTGTCATACCAAATTAAATAGCATCCCACGGCGATGTATTTCTAACCACCTCATAAGGAAAGTCAGAAGTAAGGCAATTAACAAGCGCTGGACTGGCCCCACCCCACTCTGGTTATGAACATCATCATGCTGCCCCATCCTGAAGGGGAAGCTCCTCACCTCATATAACCACACCCACTCCTTCCTCTCCTGCCCTTCACCGATGCCCCTCATAAAATGAACCAGTAATTTTGAAAGCTTTGGCTCTCCTGAGTAGAGAGGTACAGCAGTAGTCAAGAGGTATGGGTGTACACTCCAGGTTTGTTCCCCCTTCCCATTAATGTCAGGGTGTCTGAGGCAGGTTCTGTGCCTTCCTCCAGTGGGACAGGCCAGCCAGTCTTGAGTGTGACCATACTATAAATGTTGGACTGACTCCTGTACATGGGCCACAGACTGTGATACACACCATGATTGTGCCATTTTAGCTATTTCTTGTGATAATACAGAGTTTTAGAAAATGAAAATCCAAAAACTTTGGGAGCAGAAAGCAGAGGATGATAGAGTAAACAAAATTAGTCTGAAAGTCTATTGGCCTATGCAGGTGAAGAGCCAAATGAATTTTAAGACTGTGAAAGACTTCCACTACCTTCAGTCAAGTGGTTTGTGGAACTGCAGAAATGGAAACTTCGATCGCCGTATGAAAGACAGACAGACATTGGCTGGGAAGACGGCTCGGTCATTCCAGTGTTTCAGAAATAAGCAGGAAGGCCTGGGTTTTACCTCCAGTACCCATGTTTATCAAAAAAAACCCAATAATTTAACAAACTGAGCATGGTGATGTGTGCCTGTAATCCTAGCACTGGGAGACAGAGACAGGATGAGGATGATCCCTAGGCATCACTAACCAGCCAGTCTCACCTATGTGACAAGCCCCAGGCCAATGAAAAACCTTGTCTCAAACAAGGTAGACAGCCTCTGAGGAAAACATCTGTCCTCATGCTTCAATGTGCGTGCGCACACATGCTTCAATGTGTGTGCGCGCATGTGCACACACACACACACACACACACAGGGGTGAAGTGAGGGAGACAGACAGAAGACAAAACCTATTCTATATAAATATACACTAAAGGTGGCATAACCATCAGCATCATGTGTAAGCTGCTAGGACAAAGCCCGACCCCAGAAAGAGGTAGCATTACTGCAAGCTTTTCCTCTCTAGCTTGTAACAGGCCAAAGCTGAGTGGATGAGTAGTAGTCAGCACTTCGCTGACCCCTGGGGGTCATCTAGAAACATGGTTTGGTCCATTTTGTTTCTCTGTCAACCTTTTAGAGATACCCATGTGTGCATCCTCAAAACTGGCTCCCGTGCGTGTATACCAAAGCCTTTGAAAAGAAAGCTTAGCAAAGAGGAAGCGATTTCTTTGTGAAAATTTCCCTCCGGGGCTTGTATGTCTCACTTGCGCTCACAATTCCTGGGCTGGAACTTGATCAGATGGCTACACTGAGCAGCAAAGGCACAGAGCCTTGAACTGGATGGCTCCATACTTAGAAAAAAATGGTTCTAGTAATACAAGAAGGAGAAGAGTTAATGCCTGGCACGATATTAATCATGTCACCGATGCCATTTTAATTGCTGGTAAGAGGATAGTGTTGAGGGCAACTGACAAAGTCATTTGTAAAAAAAAATAAAGTTAAACATATACAAAGATCAACTCAAAATAAGAGTTAAAACTATAAAGCTCTTAGAAGAAAATACAGACACATATCTTCATGCTTTGGGGGTCAAGTAACAGTTGCTTATATGATGATGCCAAAATCACAAATGGCAAAAGAAAAAATAAGTAAGTTGGACATGATAGGAACAAACAGGTTTTATGCTGTGGAGAATTTCAAGAACCTGAAAGAGAACTCACAGCATGGGGTGGGGAGACGGCTCAGTGGATAAAAGCACTTGTACAGGTGTGAAGGTTGAAGTTCCTCAGAAGCCACAGGAAAGCCAGGCATGTGTAGTGGCCCACCAATAACCGTAGCCACTGGGAGGCTGCCATTGTGGAGTTCTGGGGCCAGCTGGCTGGGGAAAGTAACCAAATTGTCAATCTTCAGGTTCTGCAGGCATCCTGCCTTGATAAATAACATGGAGCACAACTGAAGCAGATACTTGATATCAGCTTATCACCTCCATGAGTACACACACAACACATACATGTGAACACACATAAACATACACATTTATATCACACAGGTGCAGACATGCAAAAAAAAAAAAAAAAGGAAAAGGAAAAATGTAGCAAACTTTCCTGTTGGACTATCTTTGGACTGCCAATCCGCAAATAATGACCTGGAGACTTGTTATTAATTATGAAAGCTTGGCTTTTAGCTTAGGCTTGTCTCAACTATCTCTTATATGTGGTGTTAACTCTCTTCCATCTTGTACCTTCTGTCTCCTCTCCATGTTTGGCTGGCCACTCTGCCTTTCTTCTTCCTGGACTCTTCTCTGTCTCTGGAAGTCCCACCTACCCTCTTCCTGACTAGCTATTGGCCATTCAGCTCTTTATTAAACCAATCAGAGGGCGCCTTGGCAAAACCACATCTTCACAGTGTAAACAAATAATCTGGGACAGAAAAAAACTCACAGAATGGGTGAATATATTTGCAAATCATTTCATAGAAAAGCCTTGTATTCAGACTATGTAAAGCACTTTTACAACTCAGAAGTAAAAAGACAAATACCTAATTTTAAAAGGGCAAGATTTTTTGAACAGTCTTCTCCAGAAAAGATGCACAGTGGGCAAGATGGCCAATAAATATGTGAAAAGATGCTTACCATCATTGGCCATCAGAGAAATGGAAGACAAAGTCACAATGAAATCTCTCTTCACCCACCATTTGGTGGATGACAGGGAACGAAGAGCATCTGCAACAGCAGATTCCCAAGGGCGCAGGTGGGCCTGTTGGAGTGTTGGGATTTGAGCTTCTGCTCTTTGAACCCAGGATCTCGAAATGCATCGTGATTCCTGCCCGTTAGATTGCAAGGTGTATGTAGGTAATCTTGGAAACAATAGGAACAAGACTGAATTAGAATGGGCTTTTGGCTATTGTGGACCACTCCGAAATGTGTGGGTTGCTCGATACCCTCCTGTCTTTGTGTTCGTTGAATTTGAGGATCCCCGAGATGCCGCTGATGCTGTCCCAGCATTAGATGGAAGAACACTATGCGGCTGCCGCATAAGAGTGGAACTTTCGAATGGTGAAGAAAGAAGTTGGAATCGTGGCCCACCTCCCTCCTGGGGTCGTCGTCCTCCACCTCGGCAAAGATCTCCAAGAAGGAGAAACTTCTCTCGAAGCCAGAGCAGGTCACTTTCTAGAGAGAGGAGAAGAGAAAGGTCTCTGTCTCGTGACAGAAATCACAAGCCATCTCAATCCTTCTCTCAGTCTCATAGCCGATCTAGGTCACATGAAAGGAAGTAGACCAGTTTGCAAAAGAAGTGGTGTACAGGAAATAGCTTCATTTGACAGGAGTATGTACAGGAAATTCAAGTTTTGTTTGAGACTTCATAAGCTTGGTGCATTTTTAATATGTTTTAGCTGTCCAGATTTCTTTTGTCTCCTGGAACAGTGGCACGCACACAACGATATAATTCTCTGTGGTTCCAAATGGATCCTATGAGGCATGTAACATCAAGAATTGTTATTTTACAATGTCCCCTTAAGCAAGATTGAATTTGTTTTGAACTTTAGTTTAGACTGAAATAAACCTAGATCCTGCCCAGTTAAAGTGTGATGCGCTAATGATATGGAAAGAGCTGGCAGAAATGGAAAAGGCTGTGGTCTCTCTAATAGCTGGGCTAGAGTGTGGAGCTGTGGGGAAATGATAAGCAGTCTTTAAATGCTGCTGTGAACACAAACCGACAGGTAAAGGATGAGAACTGCACTCCAAAGGCTTGCAGAGAGGTTCCTCACTGATCGCTATAGATGGATGAATAGCTGTTTGTAACATTCTTTGTTTGGAAATGGAAGGCTTTAAGTTAGCAGTGTCCTATCAGTTTAAGGGTACATTGTAGAACTGAACCTTTGAGTTACTGTGCAAGATTTCTTTTTCATGCTGTCATTTGTAATATGTTTTTGAGAATTCTTGGGATTAAAGTTTTGGTTACAAAAAAAAAAGAAGAAAAGAAAAGAAATCCCTCTTCACAATGATTGGGTTGTTTATAATCAACAAAATGAAATTAACAAGCGTTAGCAAGACTGGAGAAACTGGAGCCCTCCTCAGAAACCGCTGTTGAATATGTGAAGAGTGCAGGCTTTGGGGAGCCGTTTCAAAGTGTCTCAAAAACGTAGACAGTAACCATATAATCTAACAACATTAGTCATCTATGCAAGAGAATGTAAACATATGGCCACACAAAGACCTGTACCCAGATGTGTTTGGCAACATTATTCACTGTACTGGCTAGTTTTATGTCAACTTGATACAAGCTAGAGTCATCTGAGAGAAGGGAGCCTCAACAGAGAAAATGCCTCCATAAGATCCAGCTGTCGGCAAGCCCATAGGGCATTTTTCTTAATTAGTGATTAATGGAGGAGAATCCAGCCCATTGTGGGTGATGCTACCCCTAGTCAGGTAGTCCTGAGTTCTATAAGAAAGAAGGTTGAGCCAACCATGAGGAGCAAGCCAGTAAGCAGTATTCCTCCATGGCCTCTGCATCAGCTCCTGCCTCCAGGTTCCTGCCCTGCTTGAGTTCCTGTCCTGACTTCCTTTGATGATGAACAGTCATGGTGAAGCATAAGCTGAATAAACCATTCACCCCCCAGGTTGCTTTGGTCATGGTGTTTCATCACAACAACAGAAACCCTGACTAAGATATTCACCAAAGCTGAAAACTGGAAACAATTCAAATGCCTGTCCATTGATGAATATGACACCAATTGCATGTCCCTGCCTTTGAATATTAATTTGATGATGAAAAGCAAGGAAGTGATGACACATGCTAACACAGATGAACCTTGAAAACACGGTGTTAAGTTTAAACGACCAGACACATAAAACAACACACTGTATAAGTGCATTTCTCGAAAGTCACCAGGACAGACAAGTCCAGAGAGGCACAGAGCATCTGTGGTGCTAATAGTTGAAAGGAGAAGCAAGGCTGGAGGTGATCGCTGCTGATGGGCACAGGATTTCCTTTTGGAATGATGAAGATGTCTGAAATAAAGTAACAGTGACCATTGCACTGTCGATATCTTCTAGAACACTAGATGGAAACTGTAAGAGCGAAAGTCTCATGATGTCTTCATTCTCTCTCGACGAGGCTGTTGGAAATATAATAACGTTAAGTTCTTCTTCCATCTGACAGTTTATTCCAAGTGTTCCAAGCATTTAAGTAAAATAAAGCCATAAAAATATGTTTAAAATGTTATAATTAATATTTCCATAAGCTATGGGGGAAAGGGAATTGAAAACATGACATAATAGAAATTACCAAGTAAAAGTTAATTCATTTAATTCAGTACCAGTTTTAAGTCATATATCAAAAAGTTTGCCAAATTAAATAGTAAATTATAAAATGAGAAACATATTTGCAAGATAAAATTTGTACTGAAAACTTATATTATATATTATTCAAATCATAAATCAAATGGTTAATAAACAAAAAATGCTACAATTAGCTGTACAGACCGGCACACACCTGTAATCCCAGTACATGGGAAGTTGAGGCAGGAGGGTCACTTTCAATACCAACCTGAGCAACAGAATAAAACCACATCTCAAAAATAAAGTAAGTAAATGGTAAAATCAAGGATGGAGACCGGCTCAGTGGCTAATGGCACCTGCTGCTCTTGCAGAAGACGCAAGTTCAGTTCCAGGTACCCACATGACAGCTCATAACTGTCTGTAACTATAATTCCAAGAGGTCTGATGCCCTCCTCTGTCTTCCATGGGCACCAGACATACACATGGTACACATGGATACATACGAGCAAACATAAAAATTGTAATGATAAAATTAACTCAAATTTTAAAGATTTACTTTTATTTTTAATTGCGTGCATATGTGTGTCTCTGTATAGGGAGATGCACATGTGAACGTGGATACTTGTAGATGTGCGCGTGTGTGCAGGTTTGGCCACTGGACGAGGGCTGTGGGTGTCTTCCTCTAATGCTCTCCACCTTATTTTTTGAGACAGGGTTCCCTACTCAACTCAAAACTTGCAGTTTCCAGTAGTCTGGCTCTCCAGTGAGCCCCCAGCATCCACCTGTCTCCACACCTCAATTGGGGTACAGGCATGCTTAGACATCCCAACTTCTACATGTGTCCTAGGGATTTGAACTTGAGTCCCCCCCAAGCAAGCATCTGACCATTGAATCATTTTTCCAACCCCATATGTTTTCTATTTTTAAAGGGATGCATGTATGCTTTTCTAAAATGAAAAATAGAATAATAGAATGTTGAGTGGTGCACAGATCTGGGAAAAGAAATTCTTGGTGTTTGGATACTGTGACGAAGCCCCCCAAATACCTTGAAACTCTTGCGGTCCAGGCTTCTCAGGTATCAGACAAGCTCCAGGTCCTTGTTTCTCCAACGACGTGTACATTAAAGCTGTTCTCAGGGAACTGGGAGTTAATGTTTTACCTTGAAGGAAGAGCAGGCAGCTTGCAGCATGGCAGGAAGAGGAGATCCTCTGCAGCTTGAGAGGGAACTGGAGACTAGGCCTTATAAAAAATGTACTAGGTGCAAAGTGAGAAGAAAGCCCTAGGAACCGTGAAGGCATCTGACACATCAGTCAAAAGCCAATGGCACAAGGGCCTTTGGGGTCTGGAAAGCAATGCAAGAAAAACAAAACACGAGCTGGGTGGTTGTAACCCATGAGACCAGGGACCTGATCTGTTCTCACCCCGGGGTAGCTCTTTTCCGGCTGCTTATCTATGCAATTCTGGGCTGGCCTCACAAGTGTCAAGATTTGGAAAAACATATTTGTGAATGTCTTATTTAACCTACTTGTCAACTTGACGCAGTCTACCCATCGAGGAATTGCCTAGATCAGATTGGCCTTTGAGCAAGTCTGCCGGGGGTCTTGTCTTGGTTATTAATTAATGAAGGGGGTGCAGCCCACCGTGGATAACATCATGCCTAGCAGGTGGAACTGGACTGTATAAAAAAAGCTACCTAAGTCTAAGCCAGTGAGCAAGACACTAGCAATAAGCATCTTCCATGGCTCCTGCTATATACTCCTGTGGCTGGGAGTTCCTGGCCAGAGATAGTTCCAGGAAATAGCAAACTGTCCTGCCTTCACGTTCCTGCCTTGAGTTCCTGCCCTAACTTCCCTAAATGGTGGACGGTGGCCTGGAAGTACAAGATGAAATAAAATTTTTCCAGCCCACACTACTTTTGATCAGAGTGTTTTTTCGAGGCTTCCCAGGAAGGAAACCACAATAGTGCCTCTCATGCCCAGCATGTGGTACCAACTCTGTATGTCCCAGCTGATGTGGTACGGCACACATAGCCCACCCAGAACTCCTGTCATGCTTTACTCCTCAAAACCACCTGGGGGAATAGATAACTGGTACTAGCCCCATTTCACAGATGAGAGGGTGTGTCAGCTCACGTGACTGGAGTCATTTGGACACAATGCTTGTGATGCCAGTTTCCACTTTTACCACCTGTTTTTGCTCTTTAGTGGAGCCTAACTGGTTAAAAAAAAAAGAAAGAAAGAAGAAGAAGGAGAAGGAGGAGAAGAAGGAGAAGGAGAAGGAGAAGGAGAAGGAGAAGGAGAAGGAGAAGGAGAAGGAGAAGGAGAAGAAGAAGAAGAAGAAGAAGAAGAAGAAGAAGAAGAAGAAGAAGAAGAAGAAGAAGAAGAGGAGGAGGAGGAATCTAGAATAACCTCAATAAGGGTCTTCTTGTATGAGTCTCCTTCATGATGCTTAATCTCATTGAGTTGAGCCAGGCACAGATACAAGCATTTATTGAGTGCTTCCTATGAACCAGGCATTGTCCTAAGTATGTTACAGACAGCAACTTCATCTCTACTATAAGCCTAGCAGGACTATTCCTGCCATCTTCATCTTACAGGTACGGAGACTACCAAATAAATGCTGGAGTAATTTTCTCAAAGCCATGGAGCTAATGATGAGCTGAACCAGAACCCAGACCTCAGTATTGTGATCTATGCCTCGGGGTGTGCTTTCTAAGTAAAGCTTTGGGTAGTTGTTGCATGTCTGGTTTTGCCTTATGTGTTAATTCAATCATTTCATTTAAAATATCCCCAGTATGCTGCCATAAAGAGGCTGGAAAGTAACTTCTGGTGTTTTTGTTGTGTGTCCTTTACCAATATGTGTCCAAGGGAACACAGCAGAGTTGCTGAAAGGGAGAGCTGGGTGGTCAGAATGACTGAAGTTTATTTAACCCCTGGCCCTGACATTGGTCCTTTTCCTTGTCCGTCTATCCATCCAAAGAACCAGGGGGGAATTCGGTGGAAGTCAATCCCCAACTGCTGAAAGCCACCAAAATCACTGGGAGAGCCCTCCTTAGTGGGGAGACATTTACTGAGGTGGCAAGACTGGACGAGCCAGAAGGAAATGAAGGCATTTGACCGAGCCTCCAGGTGTGACTCCAAGATCTGTCCCATCAGCATAGCCTGGAAAATTGTTAGAAATGCAAGCCCTCCATGACAGACCCACTGTCTCAGATGCTATGTTGATGGAGTCGTGTGTGCAAGCCCTCCAGTGATCCCAATACATTTTAAAGGTAGGAAAAACAGTCCTCGGCACAGCCATGAGCAGATCGTGACCTGCTAAGACTTACCGTAGCAACGTGGGGATTCTCTCCTCCAGTGAAATGGAGGAGATCGAACGTTGTTCTCTTCATTCTGGATGGAGAAACCTGGGTGGATTACATAAGCATGTAAAAGTATCAGTATCTCAGGGACGCCCCTGAATATGAGGTAGACACTGAGAACGTAGAGGATATTCAACTCTCAGCCCCCATATGATGGCTAGAATCAAGGCCAGCAGAGACAAGAAGGAGCTAGAGAAACAGCCAGAACCTGAACCAGAAACCTCTCAGTCATTCAGTCTATGTGACCAGCTTGTCAGCTTCCTTCCCAAGTTAGCCTGACATGCAGCTACATCTCCCTCCCCTTCTTTCTCCCTCCATCTCTCTCTCTCCCCCTCCCTCCCTCCCTCTTTCTTTCTCTCTCTTCTCCTTGCATGTTTGTTCTAGGTAATCACAGAACCAACTCACCTTGTCTTGACTGTCTCTTTGCCTTGCAGAATGATCCTGCAGCATTATACCCAGGCAGTCAGGCAGCAGCAGCTGGAGAGAGAATCAGAAACCCCATTCCGAGAAGACATTACTCAAACTGACTGTTATCTATTGTGTTGCTACAGTGCTTGGGACCTTCCATTTGGAAAGATCACAGTGCCCACTGCATTTCAGTGGCTAAGTGAGGAGACAAGGAATAAACCTGCAAGCTTTAGAGGGATGGGGGAGCTCCAGGAACTCTTGGAAGGAGACACTGCAAAGGACTGAGTGATCATCTCCAAGGTCTATGGAAAACATCATTTTCCAAACTTGTTTTACTACCAAATGCTTTTTCTAGGACTCACATTGCAGATTGTCAGAGACCTCCAGTGGACTTGTTCCTGCTGTGAGCATCGCCATAGCCTGCCATTCCGTGTGAAGTCCTACCTCAGGAATTCTGAAGCTGAGTCCAGAATCATCCAAAAGAAGGGGAGTGCCAGCAATCAAGATGCTATTGGAAGGTTCTGTAAAAGAAGACCCAAGCTGGGTCTTGAAGAATGGGAAGAATGTTCATGGAAGGAAAGAAAAGGGGGCTGCCACCCCATGTAATAGCTGGTGAGAGAGGGCAGGTGTACATGGATCTTAGAAGCTTGTCATTGTGAACAGTGTTCATTTGGTAGAAGTCAGAAGTACTCTATGTTACAGTAGGAGATGAAGCGTCAATCCATGTAGTAGAAGACCATGGGGAATGGCATAAAGAATTATGAAATCCAGCCAGCAGGGAAGAACACACCTGTAATGCCAGCATATGGTCAAGTGCTCTACCACTGAGCTACGTCCCATAGGAGTTGTAATCCCAGTGCATGGGAAGCTGAAACAGAAAGATCACAAACTGGATACTAGCCTAGACTGCACAGTAGGAAATCTCGAAGCCATCTTACAGGATTTGAGTAGATATTATGGCACAGACATCATCTTGTAGGGTTGTAATAGATGTTATGGGACAAAAGACTTCTGTGATCTCCTAAGACTTAGAAAGCTGGGGTGAAGCATTTCACAGGTTATCTGACCAGCAGAGTCTCCTGAACTGTGAATCGTCAAGAAGGAGAGGTTGGATGCAGTATTTTATAAACTCATTTCACTACAGAATTCTGTTTTCCAGAACTAGT